TGTCGACCCATTTATTTTAAGTTTGCTAAAGAGAACGATTTGAATGTTAAAGAAGAAATGACTTCAATTGATACGGAAATTGCTGCTCTACATCCAACTGTTATCGATGGTGCAAATGTAAAACACGTTCTGCATATGACGATGATTGATGGTAAAATAACTTCACATTTATCAGATACATCCACAGCTACATGCGATATATGCAAAGCAAAACCAAAAGAAATGAATGATATCGACAAGGTTACTCAGAGAACCCAGTCTGTAGACATGTTTAAGTTCGGTCTGTCTTCCCTCCATGCACGAATTAGATGCATGGAATGTATCTTACATATTGCTTACCGTCTCGACTTCAAGAAATGGCAAGCTAAGGGCGAAGATTTGAAGCAACAGTTAAGCCAAAGAAAAAAGGCTATTCAAGAACAATTCCGGACTGAAACGGGGCTACTTGTGGTCGTTGTTAAACAAGGGGCTGGTACAAGCAACGATGGAAACACAGCAAGAAGATTTTTTGTTAATCCTCAAATTACTGCTCAAATAACGGGTGTTGGTGAAGAACTCGTTAGAAGATTTGGAGTGATTCTTCAGGCTATCTCATGTGGAGAGTTTGTGGACGTGGAAAAATTCCGCCAATATTGTGCTGCTACAGCACGCAAATATGTCGAGCTCTATGAATGGTATTATATGCTCTCAAGCGTGCATAAATTACTCATTCATGGTGCCGATATAATAGAGCACAATAACTTTATACCAATCGGCAAGCTCTCTGAAGAGGCCTCTGAAGCTCGTAACAAAGATTTTAAAAACTTCAGAACCTTCCACTCGCGTAAATCTAGCAGGATTGCAACAAATGAAGATATTATCAATAATTTGTTAATATCGTCTGACCCATACCTATCAAGTTTCAGGCCTAAAATATGTCAACGAAATAAACCTCTCACAAATGAAGCTAAATCATTATTTAAATCTAAAGAAAAGTTTACTAGAAAAAAAAATGGTTGCCTGTAAAGTCGGTTTTACGGGCGAAGATTTTACGTGACAACGTCTTTTTCTCGGTAGAATATTTATTGATATGAATATAATTAAATTGCACAATAGGAACAAGGAATTGAATGAAAATAAGAATTGCACAAATTTTAACTATAGAAATATATTTTGTTTACTAAAACATTGTACATGTAAACTTAAACTTAACACGAGAGACTCATCGTAACGTTACCGAGCGTTACACTTTTTCATAAGTGACTCCCAGCCGCAACCTAATTTAAGACGTTGTCACGTCAAAAATCCACGCGGACCAGGCAGCGGACGGGACTCGAACCCGCATCCTTCGCTATCCGACTTCTTTTTCTAGTAAACTTTTCTTTAGATTTAAACATCTAGCAGTTAAATGCTTAAAAAATAAATAAAATCATAAATCATTATTATTAACTTCTTGTGAAGATAAGGAAAATATAGAGTTTGTAGATGTAGGTAATGTTTCTGATTATGACTTTGATTAGTATGTGTTCTTTCCCTCAAATCAAATTATATCAAACTTTGTATTTTTATTTTTTTGTATCATTGTATCATATTAATATAAACAGTTTACATATTTAAGAACTGTTGTAGCCAATTTGAGTTCTACTAATCTTTTATACTTTAGCTTGTATGTGTGTAGTAATTTATACAGTTGTGGCTTCCTTATTATGCATTATTTAATTTATGATATCAAGCTTAGTTAGTAATTTAAGTTTTGTAAATAAAAATATTGATGTTAATAATTTTGTTTTATTCATAATGTAAATAGTTTATTTTCTCGTTTGGCAGTAACATATCAGAATCTACCTTACTACATTTACTAATATTAATAACCAGCTAGTTTATCTGGAAAAACACTTTGTTCATTTTAAGCTTAGTCAGTTAAAGTTCTAGGTATCCCAAAATAAACATATTTGATCAAACCCTTTCTTAGATAGACATTGTAAGTGTAGGTATGTTTGTTTGACAAAATTAATTATTATAGGCAAACAACGGCAGGTAATGACTGTGGGTAACCCTTTGAATTCCTCAAAACCTGCAACAATAGAGTTTGTATTGTTTATATGTAATGATGCTCTCGTTAATGGCGCGCGGCTTTTAAGCGATTGTCAAACAAAAGATTAAATTGTAGGCTGTAAACGACTTCATTGTAATTCTTTACAGTATTGTATTCTTGTTTTCTTTTTCTTAAAACTATTTCTTTTATCTATTTATATTAATTCCATATCTTTTGAATTAGGACGCTTTTATTTAAAGTTAAGTTGTATGGTGGCGTTATCTACTGTGTAGTTTTATTAGATAATAATCTGTGTTATATTAATAACTAAATGCTGGGCAAGAAACATAAACAAACTGTTTATTGAGACACATAACCCCGTAAAGCAAAATTACCCTAATAAGCATTTTGAAAAATTCGTATCTATTGAACGGGGCCGTCCGGGGTGAAGGTCAAAGGTCACATGGCTTCGTAACAGACCCGGTAATAATCCCTATAAGTTTCAGCTTGACCGTAGAAGACCGATACAAGTTATGAGCAAAACAAATTCCGTTTTCATACATTTGAAACTCTAATGCCCGTGCTTTATGGTGTTAGATTAAAAGGAAATTCCCCAAACTATTTTATTATTCAATGTACTGATATGTCCAATAAAACCGCATACCTTAAACGGATAATAAAAATTTTTATTTTTTCAAAAATCCTATGAAAGGGGGCCTCTTTTTTTCACCCACTGTGCGCTGGTTGATGGCTAGGCTGCACCAGTTCGATCAGCCATGAAGAAAGTAACCACTCCGTTTTAGGAGTCGGCACTTCCCTAAACCACTTAAAACAGAGTGGTTACTTTCTGTAGCGGAATGGTCCCACTTAGGGTTACCAAATTTTTTTTTCTATCATATATAGTATTTTCGAAGCTGATATCCTCTAAAAATATAATAAAAGGGTAAAAAATGAAAAAAAAAATATAGTACGTCTTTCAAATATTTACGTTATTTTTAAAATTAAATTAAAATACAATTAGCCTAGCCCCAAAGTAAGCACTATAAGGCTTGTGTTATGGGATACTAGGGTAACGAATAGAATATAATTATGTACTGTACTTAAATAAGTATATTTATATAGAAATACATATTAAACATCCATGACTGGATTACAAATGCACGTATTCATCACAAACATCTGCCCCCACCGGGATTCGAACCTGGGACCTCTCGAGTCGGCGACACCATGAAACCCGGCGTACAAACCACTCGGCCACGGAGGTCGTCTCAATTAATATATTTTTGCTGCTCTATACCTTAATAATTCAGTTTTTATTTTTAAGAAAGCTTTTATTGGAAAAAGTCTGCTTTAAGCAAAATATAGTGGTTTTGCCTACTATATTTTTTCTTTAGAAATATAGTGTTTGATACCCTTATATCGTAGGATACTTGCAGAATGGACTCTGTGTGGAATGGGTCCAGTATGGATGGACCCAGTGCGGAATGGGCCCAGTGCGAATAGGCCCTGTGGGTGGACCAAGTGCGGAATGGGCCCAGTGTAGAAAGAACCTGCTTGGAATAGGCCCAATGTGGATGGTCCCAGTGCGGAGTGGGCGGTGTGGGGCATGCCGATGCGAATGTCTGGTACCGACATTCGCGAATTTTTTTAAATTGGCGCCAATTATCTATGGCATGGTGGCAGTCTCGTTCGAATTGCCGAATTGATATGAACTCATCCGACTGAAGTGTCATTCCGCTCGTACCGGTCTTTCCGTAAACAAAACAAGTGAATTTTGAGGTTAGTGATTGTGAGTGGTAATAGTGATTTATTAACATGAGTAAATCGAATTCTAGTGAAACATGGACTTATTTCACACTTTGCGATGCTGAACGAGCTAAATGCAAACTGTGTAACAATGAATATTCAAGGAAAGGCAGAACTACAACTTCTTCAAATTGTTTTTTTCTAATATTCATATTCGCAAAACATTCGCAGAGATTTTGCGAATGCGAATGTGAATGCGAATATTCAAAAATATGCGAATATTCGCGAATGCGAATATTCTTTACATCACTATTTTCTACCATTCGGGAGGACAACATGGCTAACTTGATAAATCAGAATCTGCAATTCTCAAGAGTTAAAAAAAATAAAAGAAATGTAAAAAACACTTTAACCTCTTAATGGTAATTTATAGATATGAAGGTTTGAATGCGGGCTCCCTAGCCAGAAGGAGTGCATGCTCAATTTAGAAGTATTATTATATAGTATTTTCTTATTATTTAGATTTGACCAAATAATTAGGTTCTTTGTGACCCCCGAAGTATGGCTGATTTACCCCCCGAGGGATAATTACCCCCAGGTTCGGAACCCAGGTAGGCAGTACTTATAACATTTAGGATTTTTTATTTGAAATTGGTTTGGCTGAACAAATAATAAAAATGTAAGTAGGTATAAATTAAAATAGTTTTCTTTACTGTGAAAAAAAGAGCCCTTACCTAAATAAAGACTTGTGAGATACGTTTAACAGTTTGAATTGCTTATTTAAATTGCTGGGCCTTTATGTCTATAAACAAAATGTTACTTTTCATAGTATAAATATATAGTCAAGCCTTACTCTCTCCAAAATCCAAATTATGGGTTGGTCTTGCGTGTATGTTTAAGTAAGAATATTGATAAACATTTTGTAAAATCATGACTAGACATCAGATAATCAGATGCATACTTACCTTAAGTTCAGATGATGATGGTTAATAGAAATAATCAAATTTACAACAGCATAAAACTGCTTAATGTCTCAAAACTTAAAATCAGTTGTTTGATATTAAGGAAATATCGTAAGAAGCCACTACCATAATTTGTTAGCCAAAAACTTATTTTAGGTAAATATGCATCAGATTATCCAAACTCTAATCATAAAATAATTTTACTTCATAAATATATCAAATTAAGGTTATACCATTATTTTTATAATAATTAATACATTTTCTAAACTAAATTGTTTAATCTTTGAAGAAATGTTAAGCTTTCAGTGGTCCCACAGAATCATCGGGGATCCCTAACTCTTCATTGGTCCAAGTGCTGGGATCAATATATGGCCATTCTCCCTAAAATTATAAATACAATTAATATACTCATTAGAATGAATGACATCTTGAGATCATTACTTGATTAATGCTTACATAAATATGTTCCGGCTCAGTAGCAACATGGTAAAGTATCCAAAACCATACCAAACCACCGAGGCCGTTAGCTAAATATGTTGCCCTTTTGGATGGCATTGGTGGCGGAACCCTATAACTCCATACTCTGTAACAATTTAAAGGTCGAAATTAAAGGTTAGACACCTAAGTTAGGAAATTTTGAGAAAACCGATGACATAACAGCGTACCTACCCATGGCCTGCATTTCTTTTTGACTGTTTCAAGTTATCAGATACATTTTTTATGTTTCGGAAGAGAAGTGCCCTAAATGCTAATGATTTTGTTAGCATTACGGCTGCAATAAAATTGTTACTGGTTTAAATACCTAAATAAGAATTTAGAGAAATATTATTACCCACAGTTCACTCACTTCACTTGACTGACATTGACGTACGTGACGGTTAGGGATGAAAAACTATTATTATAAAATCGATTATTTTTCATCATAAACGATTATGACCTATCGATTTTTAGATTAGTTTTGATCAATGTTAAAAATATCTTTTTTTTTTACATCAGAGATCTATAAACGAAACAAGGTCTACCCACGCTCCGACGGAGTGACAGACCCACGGTCGGTCGCTCCGTCAGTGACACATAACAATGTACTCTATGGTCAGTGAAGCACTGAACGCATCCATACAATCTCATAGCTCGTCGGTCGACCGACGTACACGCGACCGACGATCCGGACCGACGACGGCACGACCGACCGTACGCGCGTACCATCAGCCGTCGGTCAGCGCTGACCGTCGGTCGAGCATTGTTTCCAACCGAAGGATCTAATGTCTTTTAATTAATATACTTTTTCAATCATCGAAAGCGGTGCATTCGCTGCGATTTTATAACTAATGTTATGGTAGCCAATATTCACCGGCGGCCGAAACGTGTGACGTCACAGAGCTCGAACTTGTTTCACTCCAGTCGAACTTCAGTAGCGTCTCTATGTACGCTCGCACGTCTCTACGTGACGTCACAGCCACCACACAGCCAGGCGAAAATTCGTTTAGTAATTTGGTCATAACTTCGTTAATATTTGTCGTAGAACAAAAATGTAACCACTGCCAGGGCCAGACCGTGAGTTTAGGGGGCCCTGGGCTAATAGTACATAAGAGGCCCACCTAATTACTCAAAGTAGAGAAAAAATGAGACAGTAAACTATTTATTTTAAATTATAATATATTATGCCGTAGTGTTAATAAATGAACAAATTACAAAGAAACCTTTCTACAAAGTGCAGAAATGCAAATTCTTTAATTTGCTCTTCGCATTATAGGGGTAATATCAATGGAGTTATATTCAATAATCACGGACCTAAAAAAAAGACGGACGTAACATCAAATGCAAATCATGTGAAGCATGCAAGGTCAGACAAAATCGTTTGTTATACACTACCTACACTCACACTAATGCACCAGGTCGGACAAACCGCTGCCATTTGACCCCGCGTGACAGCGGCAGTCACACATTCAATTGCTCTGATAAAAATAATTAAAAATGCCGTCTTGTGTGGTGAAATCCTGTAAGAACTACACGAATAAATTTAAAAAGTCACAAGGAATTACCTACCATGCGTAAGTATTGACAATTCTTGATATTTATTCCATATTATATTTTACACTGGGATGAAAATTGTAAACAAAAATACAACTGTATGGCTACTTTATTTACGGGAATTTTTCCCTAAAAGTAGGGAATTTTGTATTTCTAACATTTGTGACTCGGTAAGGTCAGATTTCGTAACTTTTAGGGTTCCGTATTCCAAAAGGAAAAGAATAGAAGCCATACTATTCATAGAATATTTTATATGTCATATTATTCATAGAAACTTTTGACGTGACAACGTCTTAAATTAGGTTGCGGCTGGGAGTCACTTATGAAAAAGTGTAACGCTCGGTAACGTTACGATGAGTCTCTCGTGTTAAGTTTAAGTTTACATGTACAATGTTTTAGTAAACAAAATATATTTCTATAGTTAAAATTTGTGCAATTCTTATTTTCATTCAATTCCTTGTTCCTATTGTGCAATTTAATTATATTCATATCAATAAATATTCTACCGAGAAAAAGACGTTGTCACGTAAAATCTTCGCCCGTAAAACCGACTTTACAGGCAACCATTTTTTTTGTGTTTAGCAACTGATTGTAACTAATTATTTCTTTGTGTTTTTTTATTGTTTGGTTTTAGTTTTGGTTTTTTTAAGTTCTAGTTTGTCAGAGATAAATCTTGATTCATTTTTATTTAATTTTTTAATAAATTCATTTCTCTTGTTTTAAGGCCTAAGATACTAAAAGCATTCAGCCTATGTTGTTATTTTTTTTGTCATGCTGATTGGTATGGTTCTAATCTTCTGTTTTGTTATTAAATTAAAAATGTCTCATCAAGCCTGCCAAAATTATCAGCGCTGCAGCAGCCCTGGTGTTGCTGTAGTATTAAGCTGAGGCAGGGACCTAGTTGACCTATCTTTCTGTGTTCTGTTTTTGTATATCGAATGTTAAGCATGCGACTTTAAGCCTGCATCATAACATTTTAAAAGACATAAATAAATTAAATTAAATTTCTGCTCTGGACTTAACAGTAAATATCCCAGAGGTAATTTAAAATGCTAATTGATACCATGTATTAAGAATACGAATGCTTCAGAAGCAATGGTTTGACAGTTTTCTGAAGTTCCTGTCCCCATGTCGACATATCTCTTTTCCTCACTCTGTCAGTCTTTAAATACCTACTAAATCTATGAATGAAACACTTACATTTAAAAGAAGTAATAATAATATTAATCTATTATATTTTTATTTTAAGCATTAATCTGCGCGATTTAGGTATATTAATGTATAATATTAACCAGATACTTAATTTTTATGTAAATAATAAATTACTTTATACGGAACAAGTGTTTTCATTTTTCTAACGGTCGTCATAAAAATGATGTTTGATAGGCCAACATTATGTTTCTAAAGTGCACCCGTTTAAATTGCTGAAATATCGGGAGCTCACATGTAATAAAAACATGGTAAATATCCTGTTATTGTAATAAATACATATTACAATAACGGGATTACCTACATAGTGTAAACAATATTTTAGTTTGAGACATTTACAAAATAGGGAAATCGATGACTTATATGACCCTCAAATCACGCACACACGGTAAACGGGCGGCCATTTGCATGCTTCGCTCTTGATTAGACGAAGTTACGTCCGTCTTTTTTTTAGGTCCGTGTCAATAATGTATTTTTTCTAAATTGGATGTACTTATAATCATTTTATGTACTGCTTTAGTAAAGTATTTTAATTTTCTTTCTTTAGTGAATCACTAGTTCAGCTTAAGACATCTATTTTGATAATATTATATCTGCTATGGATTTTTTTGCGATTATTGCCGGTCTGAATTTCTATAGACATATTATTTTTAAAATAGATGCAACAACAATTTTGCAAACGTGTTCAAATATCAATGTAGTTGAGGCTGTCTTCTTCTTTTATATTTGATATTACATTATATTGAAAATATGTGTATTATTAGTATCTAGTTGAATTAACTCGCGGATCTGTGTGTAGTTTCTAAATGTACGTAAGTACTAAGGGTGCGGCCAGAGTGCGCTCAGATTCAGATTCTGAAAACAAGCGCGAGAAATAAATAGTGTAGTCTAAGCAGGTTGCCTGCTTTTTCTCGCGCTTTGTTTTCTGAGTCTGAATCTGAATCAGGAGTGCAATCTGGCCGTACCCTTCAACTACACTGTTTATTTCTCGCGCTTGTTTTCAGAATCTGAATCTGACTCTGAATCTGAGTGCACTCTGGCCGCACCCTAAGACAATACTGAGGCACCGTAATGGCGGCGGCTGTTGATGCAACTCTACAATTCACTCAAATTGTAGGGTTGCTAGGTTAGCCAATTTTTTACCAATAAAACACAGTAAAAAGATGAAAATATTTTAATTGTTCAAAATTTTACTTTTTGCCCGACTGCGGTGGATAATGTTTTTCGAGCGTATGTATGCATGTATGTCCAATATTTTGGCACACCCTACAGCCTGAACGTCTTGACGGATTTTGACATGCGAGGTGTCATTTTATTCGTCGTGATTGTGTTAGTGGCACTGGGTATATTAAAATTTAAAAAAATCAAATTAACAGATTTTATGCGCCAAATGAAACTTTTTGAAAAAAAAAGTATAAGTATTTTTATAACCCGTCAAGCGAGGTATCAAAGTGAAGGGTTTTAAAAGAATATTTAGAAAATATACAACTCGTGTTATTAAAATAATAATAAATTAAAATGTCGAAAATAAAAAAAATACTAAAAAGAAAAAAACAAGTCCAGTAGTCTAGAATTTTGTTTAATAAGGAACAAAGTTACTTTAACAGTCGCGACTAGAATGTATCGATTTTTCTCAATATTAGGTAAATCAACTAAATATAGATGGCCTGGCCTGCATTCTCTTTCATATTTCTTAAAATAAACAAACACCCATTGAGTACTGTTTGTAATTGAGGAGTTCCATTGTTTTCCTCCGAAAGTACTCATCAGATCTCCAGTAAATTAATATGCAGCCATCTCGCTAGTAAACTGATTAAAACAAAAAAACAATCATCATAAACGGTCCACGAATCTCGGAGATCTGCGCGAACAACAATAAAAAAAACAAATATGACGCATTGCAAACCTCTTTCTTTTCGAAGTCGGTTAAAATTTTTAATTAACCTTTTGAGGTAATGCATACGTAATAACACGTCGCAGTCCTACTTTAGTTGTATAAAAGTCTTGAGCTTCAAATTGAAGACTAAAAATGACACTACTACATATTTGTTTGGAAATCATTCATTTTCCAGTAATTTCTCCATACTACATTTTCTTTAGGAAATCTGATAAAAAAGAATAATAATTTCCCATATTTTAGGTAATATGGTTACATGCACATTGGCAACACTGGACTTTAGACATATCTATAATATAATCATTTTGTCTTTAGAATTAAAATTGATTTCGATTTCTAAAAACTAGAAAAAAGTGATTCAATTATTCATTTACCTATGAAACGTGATTCCTGGATTTTTTTTCTTTCGGTCACTACGGTTTTTACACCTTTTTACAAGCAAGATAATAAATATAAGCTAAACAATATATTATATTGTTTAGCTTATTTTTATTTCCACGTAACGTGTCGGCTGCTTTGACGTTTGCACGCGTAGTGGCTGACTATTGTGTGAATGTGTGCGTGCCGGCTTGTATGTACAGCGACCTGGCCGACTCTGAGCGACACAGTTTATTGTTTACCGGGACTCTGTCCGCCTTTTTTTATAAGTCCATGATTATGGAGATGTTTTTTCGCATCACTAGTACATAGACTAAAAGATGCCACTGGTGGTGATTCTGACATGATTCTCTAAACTTAACTTAAATTTGAGAACAGTGGTGTTGATTCTGGCGTGATTCTCTAAACTTAAAACTAAATTTAACATCTGTCTCTCCTTTTCATTTTGTATAGAGAATGACAAGAAGGATAG